TATAAAACAAATATTTCGTAAAAAGAATCCTACGGAAGTGTTTTGCCGAGTAGCGAAAAATTGATTTTGAAAAATTGTAAATATTACCAGAACAAAAAAAAAACTTTTTAGAAATTTGAAATATTGGAAATATGTAAATATTTCAAAAAGCGAAACTGATTTAAAAAAAATAAGAAAAAGCTTTTAAACAATTTAAAGACATATTAAAATACGTAGCAAGTCTATAAATATAAAAAGAAAACTGAAATAGTTTTAAAGATATATGGATTTGTTTTTAAGCGTGGAAATGTCTTAATTTAATTACGTCGTCTCCTATATGCTAATATATATATATATATATATATATATATATATATATTTGTTTATTAATCCAACCGGTCTGAATATTCGAGAAATCTTATTAAAGCAAAACGCGACCTCATGCATGACTCGAACCTGCTCAACCTCACCATAGCAGGAGAGACCGTCGTTAGAACGATGGATTTTTAACCGACAATAGTTTTAAAAGTACAACCATGTGCAAAATAACTGAAACAAAATGAATAACGTTTCGATCAGTGTACGCTCCGGCCTTCTTCAGGTGGTTGGAATGTCAAACTGAACCCTTTATTTCGCTCGCTGGGGTAGACTGTTTTTGTTCCACGTGCCATGTTTGATGGATGTCAGTTGGCAGTAATCTCCTTCTAATTTTCCCTCTGAAAGTTCTCCACTGCCTTAACCGGGTATTGAGCTCACACTCTTTGGGTCCTGTCACTGGATCTAATTAACGCCTTTATACACTGTGCCATGTGTCCTTGAGAAACTAGAATAGTCTACCCCATTGAGCGAAATAAAGGGTTCAGTTTGACATTCCAACCACCTGAAGAAGGCCGGGGCGTAAAACGGCCGAAACGTTATAATAAATATGGCGACAAATATGAGGACAATAGTATGAATAATGTAAATAGTGTACATCTCATCTCAGAAATATATACATATACCAAAATGAATAATTCCGTTATTATTTACTTTTTTTTTCATATTTTTCCAATGAAACATGACCCAGTACACATGTTAGTACTTCGTATGTCCATTCCACGAAGTCTTCCCTTGCAGATTGACCACAGATTTTCGATTGAATTTCCAGGCCAGTCTGTAGTACTTTGAATTGCTCACTGGGTTCTTATAGCCTTGGATGGCAACTGGTCTAGGACAAGGACAACTCTGAATTCAAAACCTGCGAGGGGTCATTTGGGAACCTTGTGGCACTTAATGCACCAGGTCTCTGTATTCGTCGCTTCAAAAAGTGTGGATGGTCCTGCACGAAACATTCACCACTATAACCAATTTTCATGTGCTGTTGTCAGGCTGTCGGTTTCCTGGAAACTGATCTGCTTGACCCTTATACGTCGAATTCAACGGGAGAGTCGACTATAAAAACAGCTACCTAAGAACGTGTACCTCCCGCCCTTGCTTAAATAACTAAATAACGGCAGCTACCTGACGTGGTATGGTGTCTACAAGATACCGAAGTTATTTTGTGGGTATATCTATCTAGACAAGTACCAAGGAGATCCAATAATAGTTTTGTTTGTTGGATGTGATTGCTTAACGGGGTTGAAATCTGGTGGACAATAGAAAAGACGGGGTAACTGAAAGTCATACGGGATTTCTGAAACGGGTTTTGTGTTGCCGAAGAATAATTAGCGTTGAGTTACGCTTCTGGAACAAGCAGCCACCACTGGGAAGCATGTCGAGGAACAAAGGCGTGTAAATGATTTCAGAATACTAAGAGAACAGATCCTATGCCAAAACCAGCAGACATAACATTGTGCTGTTAGTCGGGGCTCATAAACGCATAATGTTTCCTCCATTTACGAACTCGGCCGTCTACAAGAATATCCTGAAAACGTGACTCGTCTGCCTAGGTGACACAGCGCCAGACGTTCACAGTTTAATGACTACCTTCCCCGACTCAATGAGGCGGAGTAGGAACCGTTTAATCACTAACGGTACCATTGTTTATATATTACAAAAAATCCCCATCGTATGCAGTGTACTTTGTAAATTGTGTTGACTGATGGGTTGTGCAGTACCTGTGACCGTCTTAACTGCCCTCAAATAGCGGGTATAACAGCAAAATTGTCCAAATCGTGTAACAGCATAATTTTTCATCCCCCAAAAAATATATATCTAAAAAGCACATTAAACTGAGTTTTTTTTTTAGTGTTTCAGATAAGACGTTTAGTCATCTTGACACCATTACTCGTAAGAATCACTGAAAAACCTTTGGAGTTATTCAACTAGAAAAAGAACAGGTTAAAAATCGTTTTCTCTCACTGTCTTCCCAACTGAGCAATGGTGAGAGGAAAAAAGATTATTCAGGTCTTCAGTAATGGTACCAACATTTATATTTCGGCTCCCATCTTCAAAGTCCATTCAAAAACAATCCAGAGAACGGTGAATAAGTTTAACAAAGAAGGAATGATAGAGAGGAAAACGAGATCAGTAGGTCACAACAGGAAGAGGGATCATCATTTCAACTTAGTGCTAAAGTGATTAATTAGAAAAGATCCAACTCAATTCGTAAAACGTTTGGCACGTGAAAGAGAAGTTTTAGCTCTGACAGCCCAAACAGCAGTGAAAAAAAGACTTGAAAATGAAATCGTACGTGAACCGTGAGAGGCATCTTGTTACAACAGGACAGAAGTTAGAGATTTAGAGAGGGCGAAAATCATCATGAATAACTTATAAAAAAATGGACTTGGAATAATATCATATATTTGAACTTTATTCCAATACTTCATGAGCTTCCGATCCTTAGCAATGATTAATTAATGATGAACATGTCGTTTTCGTCTATGATCGATTTCATCACGATTCTTCTGTTAAAGCTTGGAGAGAAATTATACATTCTTATTGCTCAATGTAGAGTCCAATAGTGATGTTAAAACCTCGGCGCATTCCAGTAAGATATCTTTAATCATTTCTAAGATACAACGATTCAAAGTTTAATCTAATTTTACTTTTACACGGTTTGGAGAAATTTGCTATTACATTCGGTATATATTTTAAAAAAAACAAACCAAAAACACCTTACTTATGTCATAACAATCTTTGCTTACGTCACAACGCACACTAATTCTGCGAAACTCAATCTTTTATTTTTACCTACCCTGATGATGGCTTAAAAATATCGAAACGTTGAACCATATTACTTGTACTTTTCTTCCGGCAATTTCTAACCCATTTTTCTTCTTGACTGAGAAAGATACTTTGTTATTTTGAAAAGTTGATCAGTAAAATTAATCGACACAAAATGTCTGTTATCTTTAAATAATACCTGTACTTAAAGAACATTTGCTGTCTAAATACACGGAATCCATATATATATATATATATATATATATGAAGAAATATAGTCTTAAGGCGTGCTATATTTATGGGATAAAGTGCTCAATATCAAAGACAGAGCGTGTGTAAATATAAAAGTGAACATAGAAATCAACACTTAGAGGCCTGACGATTGCGTCTAGTATGAAACAGGCTCTAAGTGTTGACGTCTATATTCATTTTTATATATATTTTTCCTCATAATAAAACACTATATATTTATGGAGAAGGAATATGTATACACATACTAGCAAACACACAGACAATACAGAAAAATGTAAATAGGTCTAAGAAGATACAGAGGTCATAACAAGATAAGAACGAAGACCTCCTTCCTTTGCCCTTTCTCTGACCAAACCTAATTGCTTTATTACCCCTTAAGTAGAAGAATATTTTCGCCACAATTCCAAGAAAATTTGGATTGCTACTACACAGGAAAGACAATGCTTAAACAACGGAAAACATAAGGAAAAATTAATTCATTTAAATAATATGTGTTAGTCAAACAGTCTCTTTTATGTTGTTATTTAAGATAAGAGCTGGATTGATCCATGCTGCTCTGAATTCCCTTGGTCATTTTGACAGATTTATTGGTTCCTGGAAAGGGGATGTGTCTTAAGTGTGTGTGTGTTATTTGGTTCTTAGGGAGTGAGTGAGTATGATATGTGTAAGTGTGTATATTACTATGGGTGTGTGTTATTATTTGCCTCATTAAGGAGTGAGTATGATGTGTGTAAGTGTGTATATTCATGTGGGTGTGTGTATAAGTGTGAGGCCTCAACACTTCCGTAAGCATTGTATGTCTTGTGTGGGTGAGAAATGTGGTTAGGTCCTGATTTGTAGGGTTATATATTAATACTATCTATATTGTTAAATTTGTGATTAAGCCCGTCGGGATAGTGCGTTTCATATATATATATGTGTGTGTGTGTGTGCATATACTTGTGATGCCATTACATATATATTTAATATGTATTCGCTGAAGTACGTGTTATATATATATATATATATATATATATATATATACACGTGTGGCTGTGTGTGCATGCAGATCGTAACTTACTTTACCATGAACTTGGTTACAGATATATATGCAAACACATTTTAATGCCTACGTAATGAGTATATATATATATATATATATATATATATATATATATATATATATATATATATATAAGGACAATATTTCTGTAGTTTTAGTGAAAATTGGCATATTTGCTATATGTAGCCCAGTGTGAAAACTCGGCCAAGTATCTAATAACATTCGCCCATTTATTAGCGCTCGCAATCTGTCAGATTAACGCCTGCAACTTCAAACCTACGGAAAGATGCCTTAAGTGCCTTCGAGGAAAAAACAAATCTGATTCGGAATGTTGCAAGCAATCTAGATTAAGGATCCTAATATTTTTAAAGCCATAATTAAGTGCATTATTCCATTTTGGGAATTCCGTTTTATTTGCCAACTTCAAACCGCTAATTTATTTTCCGTTTTTGACTGTCATGTAGATGTTTTTTTCAGGCCGGAAGTTAGTCGATGCCTAATAGAGACTTTTTCTTTTTCATTTGTTTGTTTTCTACTTAATAGGTCCTCTATTGTTGCATTATTGTTGCAATTCATATTTGGTATGCCTATCAAAATTTCCTCGAATCTATCTATCTATCTATCTATCTATCTATCTATCTATCTTAGTTTATTCATATCTATCTATCTATCTATTTATCACAGTCTGTTCATGACTGTCTGTCTATTTCAGTCTGCTCATATCTATCTGTGACCTTATATCTATCTTAGTTTGTTCATATCTATCTATCTATCTCAGCCTGATCATATCTATCTCTCTATCTTAGTCTGCTCATATCTATGTCTGACCTCATATCTATCTATCTATCTATCTATCTATCTATCTATCTATCTATCAGTCTGTTCATGACTGTCTGTCTATTTCAGTCTGCTCATATCTATCTGTGACCTTATATCTATCTATATATCTTAGTTTGTTCATATCTATCTATCTATCTATCTATCTATCTATCTAAGTCTGTTAATATCTATCTATTTATTACAGTCTGTTCATGTCTATCTGTCTATCTCAGTCTGCTCATATCTATCTGTGACGTTATATCTATCTATCTATCTATCTATCTATCTATCTATCTATCTATCTCAGTCTGATCATATCTATCTCTCTATCTTCGTCTGATCATATCTATGTCTGACCTCATCTCTGTATATCTATCTATCTATCTATCTATCCATCTATCTATCTATTTCAGTTAGTATATATTTATCTATCTCTGCCTGTTAACGTCTATCTTTCTCTTACAGATTTATCTACATTGTATACGTGGTCAGAAGAGACTGGCAGATGTTATTTAACGTCTGACAAATGCAAGTGTTTACACGTTGGATATGGAAATATGAAATATGACTAGCTCGTAGGCGGCAAGTTGATTGACAATATAGACTCACAAAAAAAGATCTTGGTATTATATTACACAAGTCATTGCAGACAAAATACCTTGTTGCTAAGTGTCAGAACTGCCAAGAAAATGCTAGAGGCGATAAGAACTTATGTTGACAAAAGATATTTCTTCTTTAGTTCTTCCCCATCAAGATTTTGGTCTGCTAGCATGGCGGCCGTACCACGATACTAATCTGTTTGAAGCGATCTAAAAAAATCCCCCCCGCAAAAAAAGTTAATCTGTGACTTATCGTATGAGGAAGGATTACTTTAAAGCGCTCTAATCACCCTCGGAATGTGAAGACTTACACCCTTATGAAAATTAGTTATACAGGAAGATGTGGAGGGCCATGATCACTTACACCCTTGTGGAAATTAATTTTAAAAAAAGGAATATTTCAGTCTGCTCATATCTATCTGTGACCTTATATCTATCTATCTATCTATCTATCTATCTATCTCAGTTTCTCCATATCTATCTATCTATCTATCTATTGATTTGTTCATTGATAAGGCTTGCCATTTTGTTCGTGCAGCATTACAATTTTCGTAAGCTTCCTTGGAGTAACGTCCATCGCAGATAATGGTCGTAGGACAACTAATCGACAGTCGAGACAACAGTGTCCGGGCGTGATAAAAATCCGATGCAATCAGGGATGACGCAGTATTTTTCAAGGTCAAAAATTTGTTCACCATACACACCGAAAATAGATTCATATTACTGCACACCACTGCAAATGAACTAATCTGAGGGAAAAAAAAATAGAAATTAATTACACCCTGTCATTCCAGCGAGTTTAAAACTGACTGTATGTTAAAAGAAAGAAAACTAAAGCGGTTGTTTCAGTTAATTTGCACAAGGATGTAGAGGTGAGTTGCTAGAAGCCTTCAAAATGATCCATGGTTTGGTAAATATTGACTATAGGAAGTACTTTTCATTGGATCAAAGCAAGCGTTCCTCCTGGTGCCAATGTTTGGAACTACGAGTTTCTCGTGAAAGGATTGATGTGAAAAAGTTACGCCTGTACGAACCGGATGATCAAGGAATGGAATGCTTTCTCTTGTGATATTGTGTTGGCTGAAATTGTCAATGAGTTTAGATATCAAATTGGCAAAATATTAATGAAGAAAAGGCGACATTTCATCAGACCCAAGAGGATTCCTTTCCCAGTTCTGTAATCCAATGGATCTATATTTTTACAGAACAAATATTTCATTTGATTGTAATCTTTTATTAATGGGGAACTGTTTACTGTTTGGTTCCTGGGAGAAAGAAAAAAAAAGAAACTGGAAAATCAAAGAAAGAATAAAGGGAAATAGAAAAGAAAGAAAGAAAGAAAGAAAGAAAGAAAGAAAGAAAGAAAGAAATGATTGAAAAACATGAGAGGAGAAAGAAAGAAAGAAAGAAAGAAAGAAAGAAAGAAAGAAAGAAATAAAGAAAGAAAGAAAGAAAGAAAGAATGAAAGAAAGAAATGATTTTAATAAGACGAGAGGGGAAACAAACAATGATTGCAAAAGAAAGAAAGAAAGAAAGAAAGAAAGAAAGAAAGAAAGAAAGAAAGAAAGATTGCAAAAGAAAGAAATGATTGAAAAAAGACAAGAGGGGAAAGAAAGAAAGATTGCAAAAGAAAGAAATAAAGAAAGAAAGGAAGGAAGGAAGGAAGGAAAGGAACAAAAGGAATGGGAAATAATAGAAAACGAAAAATAAAGGGATATACTAGAAAAAGAAAGAAAGAAAAGGAAGAAAGAAAGGAAGGAAGGGAGGAAGGAAGGAAAATAATGAGAAATAGTGGAAAATGAAAGAAAGAAAGAAAGAAAGAAAAAAGAAAGAAATCGGAAATAGTAGATAACGAAAGAAAAACGAAAAATAAAAGGACATAGTAGAAAAAAAGAAAGAAATTGGATAATGAATGAATGAAAAAGGGAAATGGTGAAGAAAAAAGCAAGAAAGGAAGAAAGAGTATAAATGAATGAATAAAGAAAGAAAGAAAGAAAGAAAGAAAAAGAAAAGAAAGAGAAGGAAGGAAAATAATGAGAAATAGTAGGAAATAAAAGAAAGAAAGAAAGAATGAAAGAAAAGGAAAGGGATATATTAGAAAAAGAAAGAAAAACGAAAGAAGGAAATTGGAAAAGGGATCAATGGAAAATGAAAATAGTGAAGAAAAAAGAAAAGAAAAGAAACAAAGAAACAAAGAAAGGAAAGAAGAAAAAAGAATGAAAGAAAAAAATGAAAGGGGTATAGTAGAAAAAGAAAGAAAGAAAGAAAGAAGGAATGAAAGAAAAAGAAAGGAATATAGTATAAAAAAGAAAGAAAAATAGAAAGAAAGAAAGAAAAAAAAATAAAAAAAATAAAATGACATAATAGAAAAAGAAAGAAAGAAATTCGAAAAGGAATGAATGGAAAATGAAAATAGTAAAGAAAAAAAGAAAAGAAAAGAAAAGAAAGAAAGAAAGAAAGAAAGAAAGAAAGCAAAATTTAAAAAGGACGGCTCTGAAAATTCTTACAGTCACTATTAGTGATTATTTTGAAATTATTAACAAACCGAAACAATTTCTTTTAATTATCAGGAACAGACGGCGCTTAATTTATACTAATATGAGGCATTGTTTTTTTCAAAATGTTACTAAACAAACAAATAAAAAAAACGGTTGGTTTGTTTTAGTTCCATGATGGAGGATCGATTTACAATGAATTTCTATTGCACCAGTTTTAACTGGTGAACTAATCGACCTATATCGATTTTTCTAGGATTTTACACATCTTCGGGACACGAATTAACGTAATCCCCAGTTATTTTGCGAATAAAAGTTTCTTTAAGCCCCTACGTCAACCTCCTTCGTCTACGATCAACCATGTTTGTTTGTGGTCTAGAAATATCGCGTATGACGAAATAATGTGAGACCAATTACTTGACTCTCTTGCCGCATTTGGGGAACAATCAAAGTTTGCTTAGTTCTGCGCTTGCAGAATCTCCTAAAGACGTAGGCGCAAGACCAGAGTTTATCTCTGTATCCCACCAGCAGAATGCGCAATTGGTGCAGGAATTTTTACCGTTGTTTGTCTCGAAATATTTACGAACCTAATAAAAATTGTTTTGTTTATTATCTGTCTATATTTCTGAGATGAGGTATTATGCACACTATTTACATTATTCGGATTATTGTCCTCATATTTGTTGCCATATTTATTACAACGTTTCGGCCTTTCAGTATCTGTCTATATTTCTGAGATGAGATATTATGTACATTATTTACATTATTCGGACTATTGTCCTCATCTTTGCTGCCATATTTATTACAACGTTTCGGCCCTTCAGTATCTGTCTATATTTCTAAGATGAGGTATTATGTACACTATTTACATTATTCGGACTATTGTCCTCATCTTTGTCGCCATATTTATTACAACGTTTCGGCCGTTGTACGCTCCAGCCTTCTTCAGGTGTTTGGAATCTAACTAACGTCTTAATCCACTTTGCTGTGTGTCCTCGTGGACACATGGCACAGTGGATAAAGGCGTTAGTTAAATCCAGTGACAGAACCGAAAGAGTGTGAGTTCAATACCCGGTTAAGGCAGTCGAGAACTTGGAGAGGGGAATTAACAAGAGATAACTGACTACTGACATCCATTAAAGATGGCACATGGAATTAGAACAGTCTACCCCAACGAGTTAAGGGTTCAGTTCGACAACCACCTGAAGAAGGCCAGAATGTACAACGGCCGAAACGTTGTAATAAATATGGCGACAAAGATGAGGACAATAGTCCGAATAATGTAGTGTTTTGTTTATATTCTCATGTGTTGGTTGGTTTGCTTTGCTTAGGTTTGGTTTGTTAGACATTTTGACGGTCCATTTTTAATCCAGAGGTTAGCAGTGAATATTTCGGAGACAGTAGGAAAGCGTAGTTCAGGTTAGCAGTGGATATCGCAGCAAAGTAGCAGAGCGTAATACTTCCTTCTGTCATCTTTGCCTGACAAGTTGGCACTGGTCATTCGGGTAGGATAAACAAAAATGGCCGACTTTATACACGACGGATACAATGTTCTGCGGCTTCTGATTGGTTAACCTTCTATTGGTAGACTATAAAGGGAGTTAAGTCATTTTGACTAACTCACTAGTTACACATATATATACACAAAAAACTGTAACATGGTTTATGGCGTATCAACCTCAATGGGTTATTTAATGGCGACAAGATTTTTATTGCTGGTAATGTTATATTCAAAAATATATTTTTGGTAATATGTTTTTTCAAAAATGTATTGCTGGTAATAGTTTTGACGCTTTTTTTTGGGGGGGGGGTAACTATTTGCCCATAGCTGGGTGCTACCAGGTGCTACCACCCCAGGTCAGGGCGGACCTGGGAACACCATCAATTAAGAGGTGGTTCCACGCTCCTCAAAACCTCCTGATCAGAGGCCTTGCTGTCGGATGTAGTTTATCGTCATACCCAGGACGCGGATGTAGTTTATTGTCTTACCCAGGACGCGGATGTAGTTTATCGTCTTACCCAGGACGAGTATGTAGTTTATCGTCTTACCCAGGACGCGGATGTAGTTTATCGTCTTACCCAGGACGCGGATGTAGTTTATCGTCTTACCCAGGAGGCGGATGCAGTTTATCGTCATACCCAGGATGGGTATGTAGTTTATCGTCTTACCCGGGACGGGGATGCAGTTTATCGCCTTACCCAGGATGGGTATGTAGTTTATCGTTTTACCCAGGACGCGGATGTAGTTTATTGTCTTACCCAGGACGCGGATGTAGTTTATCGTCTTACCCAGGACGGGTATGTAGTTTATCGTCTTACCCAGGACGCGGATGTAGTTTATCGTCTTACCCAGGACGCGGATGTAGTTTATCGTCTTACCCAGGAGGCGGATGCAGTTTATCGTCATACCCAGGATGGGTATGTAGTTTATCGTCTTACCCGGGACGGGGATGCAGTTTATCACCTTACCCAGGATGGGTATGTAGTTTATCGTTTTACCCAGGACGCGGATGTAGTTTATCGTCTTACCCAGGAGGCGGATGCAGTTTATTGTCTTACCCAGGACGCGGATGTAGTTTATTGTCTTACCCAGGATGAGGATGTAGTTTATCGTCTTACCCAGGACAGGTATGTAGTTTATCGTCTTACCCAGGACGCGGATGTAGTTTATCGTCTTACCCAAGGACCGTATTTAGTTTATCGTCTTACCCAGGACGCGGATGCAGTTTATCGTCTTACCCAGGACGCAGATGTAGTTTATCGTCTTACCCAGGAGGCGGATGCAGTTTATCGTCTTACCCAGGACGGGTATGTAGTTTATCGTCTTACCCAGGACGCGGATGCAGTTTATCGTCTTACCCGGGACGCGGATGTAGTATATTGTCTTATCCATGACACTTGGCTGGTTGGTTGTTTGATTTTGTTTAGTGACATATCTACCTCTAGGTCTTATTTAATGTCGAAATCTAAATATTTCCAACACAATTTATTGATTCAATTAAATATATTTAAAACATAATTGTATGCCTTCAACTAAAGATAAAATGTATTGTAGGTCATTTTGATATAAAATTCAATGTTAGTAATTATACTCTATTTTATAGTATTGCTGGTAATTTTACTATAAATAGGTATTACCAACTATTTTACTATAAATAGTTATTTTTGTCATTTTTCATAAAAATGTGTTGTTGGTAATTTTGGTATAAAATGTATTTTTATGCTTTCATCGTGTTTTTGTTTTGCTTGAGGTTTCACTATATGCCCATAGCTGGGACCCTAACAGGTGCTACCACCCCGGGTCAGAGTGGAGCTGAGAACAACAACAATTAAGAAGTGGTTCCAAGCTCCTCAAAATCTTCCAATCATTGCGGACTTTTAAGCTTGCTTCTGCGGAGAGGTAATTGGTCTTCCGACCCAAACCTAAAGGGGCCTCTACTTCAGCTTAGAAAACAGGAATGGTAATTTTGAAGAAATAAATTCGAAGTCTTCAGTTCACTCCATGTAACTTCAAAACTCCACTCTAATTCTGATTTGGGTTATAAGTCCGACTCTGGCCAAAGAACCGATTTGG